ATATTTTATGAGYAGTATTAAAATAAGAATTATAAAAAATAAATCAAGGMTGACTTTAAAATTCAACATAAACTATTATAATATAATTAATAATTAAAATATTATGWAGTACCTTCATTGTTCGTTTTATTTTGGTTTATATTTATATTGGTGTCAACATTTCCAATCTCAAAACCAATACTAGAATTAGACGGTGATAATATGGGTTTCTTCAACGGCTCAGCATATGAGATGTCCTTATCTGAATCATCTAATAATTAAAAATAATTATCAGTTAAAATAATAAATAATTACCTATATATTTATTATAATAAACTATTATACACACCAAATTCTGAAGAGCTTGAACTGGATTGAGAGTGATATTGTGGAACAACAATTTGATTTTTCACTTTTTTCATTTTTTTTTCATGATTTTTATAAGAAGCTGGTTCTTGCTCTTTATTTTTTCGTTTTTTCTCTATACTTTTTTCGCATTCAGACAAATCTGATGTTAAGACAGCAGTTTTAGCTATTTTCTGTGCATCCAAATATGATCCTAAATAGTATAAACAGTGAAGGTAAATACAATTTTATTTTTTGTTTATAGGTAATTAATATTTTTAGATATTTTCTATATTTTTTTTATCTAAATAATTCACCTATATTATTCTTAAGAACTCTTGCATCAAATAAATTAAAGTCGATTGAATTGTAGGGAGTTCTTTTTGCTATTAATCTCGACACACTAGCTGCTGTATGTGATGGATTTGGCCAAGCACACTTCTTGGTTGATGCGCGAAACCAATATGATGGTACAGCAGAAACTGTGTTTTCTTCAGTGAAAACCACAATGGAATAAGACATTTTAAATGTTATTCTGGATATTACACATAAATAATTCCAGAAATAAATCTATAACATTAATTTATTTATACAAACAGACAAATATTATTTTTTTACTTTTATTATATACAAATAATAAAATAATTATAAATGTAGAAAAATTAACARATAAAAATATTAAATTTAAAACAAGTTTGAAAATACTTATAATAATAATAAATAAACAATTAAGAAATTTTCAATAAATATTTTATGTAACATTATGTAAAACTGKCATAGCAATATTATTATTATCTTCTTTATATGAGCAAAAGACAATGTACTTTTTAATGATATCATCTATATTGTAAAGTATATAATCATCAGAGAGTTCCTTTACAACATAAGTACCAAATTTATTTGATTTAATTGGTTTTTGATAAAGTGGTTCTTTTTTAGTGAATTTTCTCCCGACTACTATAATTTGTTCAGTATTTAAATTTTTTACAATATTTTCTACTTTAACAATTTCATTATTTATTGTACCAAAAAAACAATCAGATACAGTGTCAATTTTTATAGTAATTAATTTAAGACTTAAAACCAATGTTTTGTATTGAGACCCTTGAAGTGTTGTTGGTAAAGGACCATTAAAATGTTGACGCTTTAATATTATATCCTGACTGTTATTTTTATTAGGAATGTTTAAAAAAGTATTAATTTCAATTTCCTTGTAACGCTTCACAATTTGTTCCAGCGGCTTCTCATGTTTTCTTAACATAGATTTAAAATTTTTCATAAAATTTTCAAATGGGAAGCAACTAACGTTATCTAATGGCCCAAATAATTTATAATCCTCACATAAATGCAATAGCCCGTGTATGTTATGGGAAATTAAATGTTTGCCATAAATGTCTTGAAAATATTTAACAAAAGAATTTAATAAAAGTTGTGCAAATTCTATATACTTTGTCAAATTAGGACTAATTAATATGACCATAGCAATATGCAGACACATAAAATTTGTATAACATTTTTTAGATAAAATATTTTTCAAGATTATAGGACCTGTATAAATTAAAAGTTGGCGAAATTCTGTTGCTTTCCAACGACAAGCTTCTTCTACATCTCTTGGTTTCCTACAAAACTCAATTGGTATATAATTTTTTACCAAACGTAGATTAGCAGAAATCTGTTTTATTTTAGAATTAGGAAGACGAACAGATAAAGGTCCGTTCATCCATAAGAATATAAGTTTACGCATAACTCCTAAGCATGTTAAATGCATGTAATCTAAAGAAAATCGTTCAACTATATTGAAATTTGGTAAATCTAGAAGAATTGTGTTTAMATTAGATACATGATAATCATCATGTGATTTAGCAACAAAACTATCATGTGTTCTTTTAGGTGACATAACATTTTTATACGGGAATGAAGTTCGATTGCACAAATATTCCCCTTCTTGCGTACATCTTGAACATGAAGATAAGCCTGTGTGCCCTTTGGTTWTGGTTAAGAATGATTTTGCTGGGGCATCACAACAAAATGAAAATATTGTTACAGGAATTATTTGATCATTTATTTTAAGTCCATTAGATAATAGTTCTTTAGTTTCATTAACAAAATCATAAAGGAATTCATTACTATCTATTGGTTTACTTTTACCCCAAAATAAACCAACAGGGAATACATGTTTTTTTTCAAAACTATTTTCAGGTTTCACATATGCTAAAATTGGCCAAAGTTGGCTATTGCTACATCGTGCTATTGGAAGCCCRTCAATGCCAATTACCAATTCAACTATGTTTGGAATATTATTAATAGAGGAATAATAYTTTAATAACGATTCGGTTAATCCAAAATGAAAGTATTTCCCGTTTGGGTTAAYGAGGCGAATTTTATCAATGGTAACTTTATTAGGAGTTTGTAAAAGGGTTCTTGAATCTTTAGGAAGCATTTTAAAACCGTCATACTTTCTTAAGATAATTAATAAAGCATTTAAATGGCATTGAGGTATTCTACAATTAACAGCCCAATTTTTTATCTCAATTTTAAAAGTTTCAATATCATTTATTGAGTTTGAACAATTATTTTCTATAGTTTTATTTGTTTGGACAGATAAAAACTGTGGTTCATTTATTGTTAAATTATTATTTATGTTAAAATTGATTTGAGGAGACAAATTATTATTATAAATTGTATCATTGACACAATTTGTAATTGGTATAGGAACAGGAGTTTTATTTGAAGAAATAAGTAAATTATTAAAATTATCTGATTGATATGAATTTATTTTCATAAATTGAATATCTTGATCCTGAAGTTGAATTATTCTTCGACGAGTACGTGAAGAAGCATTCAAATTATTTCTTCTATACCCTTTGTTGATTTTAGGCATAATTACAGTGATTGATTATTAATTAAATACCTACACTATATTAACCAAATTATAAAATTATAATATTTAGGTACCTAATACCCTGGTAATACCTATAGGTTATTATTTATTTTATATTATTTTTTAAATATTGCTATGAAAAATGTTAATATTATTACTTTCCTAGTACATTTTGACTTCCTAACCTAACTATACATATAGTCACATAGAGTATTTATTTTTTAAACTGACTTAGGAAATAAAAAATGTTTGTAAAAATAAAATTGTAAGATTCTTTCAACTTTTAATATGTTAAGGATAAGTATTTACAACCATTGATTACCTATATGAACCAGTTTATAAATCAATGATACAACTTGTCATATTATGTTTTTATAATTTGTCAATGGTGCATTTTAAAATATCACCTATAAAAATGATGTTATTAGTTATTAGTTTATTACCTTTAGTATATTTAGTTACATCATAAATAATAAAAAWAATAAAAAAATKCTTACTGTTTGACAGATACATGCAATACTTGGTGAATCACTGAAATAGTATCTATAAGACGATATTATATAAATTATAATATGTAATTTATTAAATTACTTAATTACTTACCTTTTATAAAGGTATACTTTCTTCAAACAATAATCGATACTAACGAGTAACCGGAGTAACGACGCGGACAACGGTGATCGGACGAATGAATGAATGATATTATATGATAATAATATTATTATATTATTAATATAGCTTAATATTTTAATAATAGATTTACAATATATAAGATAACAATATATCTGGCGGGTATTTCGACGCGACGCGCGACGTCTTTAACCGGGTGATATCTCGCACTCGCAACAATAACAACAATAAAAAATAACCCGTATTTTCGTATATCTTGTAACTAAAAATGTATTTTTAAACATACACATTT